CTGATTATCTACAGCACTTGTGGGATTCCTTTGGTGAGCTGATACAGCCATATGCAAATGCTAGGCCGTGGATGGAAACAGAAGGGAACCATGAGATGGAGAGTATTCCATTTATTAAATCTCCATTCCAGTCATACAATGCAAGGTGGAAAATGCCTTATGCAGAGAGCGGCTTCACTTCAAATCTCTATTATCCTTTTGAAGTTGCAGGTGTCCATGTGATTATGCTTGGCTCTTATACAGATTATGGTGAATATTCTGACCAGTATGCTTGGCTAAAGGCTGAATTTGGATGCCCATATGGGTTTCCTACCAAAGTGCAGAAGACGGATGTTGTGAATGCTGATGAACTTGAGTACAATGAGCGGGTGGATGATTCAGTCTCCAAGCACCAGGTCATCCGTCTCTTGTTTGCATATGATTCCCGGCTGACATTCCGCCTATCTGGAACTGGCCCAGAAGGTGTCACAATTAGGCTCTACATTGAGCAGTATGTGAATAATTCTTCAAGGATTCGAGGGACTCACAGGAAGCCTCTTCATGTACTAATTTTGAAGCCAGCATTCAAAGTCTTCGATCCCGGAATTTGTTTCCACCTTACCTCCATTCTAAGTATCGAGTCTCGACCGGAGTCGAGCTCTTTTTACGCAAGGGGAGAATGATGCGGAGCATTTTAAGCAAATAGTTCTCCTTAGGAATATCTTATCTAGTTATTAGTACTAGTTTCTAGAATCCTCTTTTTGCTTTATAAAGAGGAGATTTTGTAAGGGGGATTGCATTGAATGACATATTACTCTCTTTGAAGCTTAGAAAGCTTGTTCTTCTTCCCTGGATTGGGAACTCTTTGAAATCCTTCTTGCAGGTGTCGTCTTCCGCCGATCCACTACATCAATAAGTTCTGGTTTGGTTGGACTCTGAACATTTTGGAGAGCGTTGGGAAGATAATGTAGTACTCTTTTTTTTTTTCCTGTAGCTGTTGCAAATTTTCTTTGAAAAAATAGGCCGCTTCCAAACCAACATGCAAAACGATGGCTTGCTTCGTAAGCGTATGTTGAACAACAATGGTAGAGAAAAAGTATGAAGTGTGACTTTTTCTGTATTTTTACGTTGGATGGATCTGTATAAGAACTATGAACATCAAGCGCAGCTAGAAAACTAAGCCCTTAAATACCAAGATGCCCCGTTGTCTCAGGTGTTTGGTTTTCTGGAAGTGGGAGACAGAATTTCAATACATTTGCAATCTAAAAGAAGAATATAAAAAGTTTAGATGATGGTCAAAGCCTAAACTCGGGCTTCATTTGCAAAGAAATTATTTTATGCAGAGACCGGGCACAGAACGATCGTTCGGAGACCAACCAGAATGTGTCATGTTAGCGGTATCGAGCCACGATACCGTGCATAGTGGTGACGTAGCGCATTCTGGTTGGTCTCCGGATGACGTTCGGTGTCCGCACAGAATAATTAATCTCATTTGAGATAGTTTTTTTTTCATTATTTTTTTTACTGTTTTCAAAAAATATTACACTATAAAGCTTCCGTAAAAAACAGTAAGAAATTAAAGCTGTTTCAAACACAAGATCAGTTGTGCTAAATAAATTAGAATTTATATAAAATAATATCAACGAATGAGCTAAAAGAAAAGTAAAATCATTCTGCATAGCTCAGAAGCAAATACTTACGATTCTACGCATTTGACTAAAATAATAATTTAGTAGAAGTAATCATCAACAGAGATGTCATAGAAGCAAAGATCATCAATAGAAAAATACAACAAAATGGCAAAGAGCTAGCTTCGAGAGGACACAAGTCATACATGCAAAACTATCTTCAACAGTATAAGACTCAGAAGAAGAAGTGAAAGATTATGAAGCTCAACTCTGTCCACAATTTGGTAATCAATTGAACTATGTATCAAGATAAGGCACCAGCCATGGCTAGATTGAGCTAATTTCATCCTAACCAAAATCCCAAAAATTCATTGTAAGAAAATAAGCTATAGAAAAGCTCTACACGAACTGAAAGGAAACGACATAAAATAATAAGCTATAGAAAAACTCACCGCACAAAAAGGCAAAACACATACAACAATAAATTAAAAGAAAAACACAATAGAGAAACAAGTTGCAAACTCCTCCACAAATAACAAGTCAACCATCTACACGCTAATAGAAAAGTTTCTAGATATTTATTAAACAGTTCTTTGGCCAGCATCCATAAGCCAACTATCCTTTAATATCCACCTCCCACTATTTTATTTGGGAAGTTCAGCTTGGTGTAAATAAATAGTATTGATATTCCTGAAATTATCCACATCTAAAGAGATGAATAAGTGAGCGAGGTTATCTTTTTAAGAACATGTTTGCAAAGAGAGACGGACTCATGCATCTTGTAGGATATAGAATCATCCATAGAAAATCTAATGAGTTGAAAATTATCAGCCAAAGTGAGAAATTTATTCTTTCACCTAATTATCCAACTATGTAACTTATTTAATAGAGTTATAATCTTTAACTAGAATCCTAATCACAGGAAAACAAATACATTTAATCTCCGAAGATCACACTGAAAGCAAACGCGATGGGTTTAGGGTTTTTCGCCTCCGTCTGCAGCTCTCGTGATGTAACTTTTCTTCACTAATCCTTCTGTTTATTTTTTTTTCTCCGTTTTATTTCCTATGATTGTGAATCAGATAAAAGACCCTGGATTTTTGGATGGCAAAGTTAAATCGAGGTCATTTAGGGATGCTTTATCTGGTGAGTCGGCTTCACCGGAGTTTCCCCCGCTCAAAGTTTCTTCTAGCTCACCATGATTTGTCGGCTTTGATTATTTCTGATGAGGAAATTTCGTCTCTTGTTTTGCCTTTTGAGTTTGCTTTAGTCGAAAAGTTTCCAAGCCACCGCCCACCGCTTGACTTGATTCGAAAATTTCTCTTCAACCTAAAGCTTGTTGGGGATTTTTTGGTTACTTTAGTGAATCCTAAAAAAGTGTTGATTAAACTTGTAAATGACTTAGATTATTGTAGGGTTTTCTCTTATCGGACATACTTCGTGAGCAACTGCTTCATGAATCTTTTCAATTGGACTCCACATTTTGATATTACTGTGGAATCTCCCATTGTCCATATTTGGGTTTCTTTTTCATGCATACGTCCTCAACTTTTCTCACCCTGGATTTTGCATGGGTTGGGATTGCTATTTGGGAGACCTTTGCAAACGAGTAATGTGACTGTGAATGGTTCGAGATCTTATGGCACGCATGCTTGTGGAATTAGATGTTACGAAACATTATGCTTCTCAAGTTTGGTCAGGGTCGGAGACTTGTGGTTATGTTCAATCAATTGAAATGAAAGAGTTTCCATTGTATTATTTTCATTGCAAATCATTGGGTCATTCTAAGGATTTTTGACCGATCTTATATCTGAATTTTGTTGTTTAATTTCTCTTTCTGTTATGGAGGCAATTGCTTCTGATGTTTTGTTACAGGATCCCTTGAGTTCTAATCTTAACCACGACAATGTTTCTGGTGTGGGGAATATAGGTGCTTTGGTGGAAAATCCTATTTGTGCTAAGGTTCAAGGGAAAAATGTTGTGTCCCTTCTTTACTTTGCAAAGCTAGGGGTGTCTTCTCAGCCTCAATGTGATGTTATTTTTTTTAGTCCTGTTGGTTTTGTTTTGCCGCATATTAATAATATGGAGAAGTTGGATATGCCTTTAATCGAATCTGTTGAGATGGAGGGGGAAAGTGCTTTGGTTGTGTCGAATGCGAAAATGCAGAGGAATGTTGTGATTACAAGTGGAAATGAAATTGACAATACTTTGGCTGGTGGTGTGGTTTCACCTATCATTTTAGAAGAATCTATGTTGCCCTCTCCCATTGGGATTGCTAGTGATATGTATTTTCCTTTGGTTGCATGGTGAGCCTGAGGGAGCTCTTGTCGATGTCCATGTGGTCATGTCCCCTAAAGGTTTGCTTGCTCAATTTGTTTATTCTTCAGGTGTCACTTGTCCCGACCTTTCGGATCGAAATGTTGTCTCTACTTCCCCATCGTCTGTGGATGGTGATGATTTTGGTGATGTACAATTGCTTCAGGACCTATACGGCTTAAAAGTTGGTAAGGTTGTTGATAAAACTATTTCGTGTGCCACTAAATGCAGGAGGAGAAAATCCAGGAAGTAACTCTTGGTTTTGTATTGTGTGATCCCTTTTCTACATTGCATTTGGTGTTTGCTATTTAATGTTTCATTGGTGAGCTGTCGGTGTTTCTGGTGGTTGTTTGTTTGTTTATCCTGGGGTTAGATCTTCTGCTCGATCCATCTGGTATTTTTGGGGCAATTTTCTCTCACCTTTTTGTGGTTTTTTGTTTGTATTGGTTTGTATAGGACTGTCCTCTCATGTTGAGATACTTGGTAACTACCGTGGATGGTCGTTGGGCTGCTTCTACTGGAGCGTTGATGTTTGCGTTCTTTCACTTTGCTTTTTAATCTATGCTTGATTTTTATGCTTGTATTAGTTGGATTGATAACTTATAGGTTTTATTCAAGTGATGTGCTTTTAGTGAGCTTACGTTCCTTTAAAGACCTGTAATTTTTACCAATATTAATGCATAGGCCCCGTCATGAGTTTTAACCCAAAAAAATATTTAATCTCCATGATACAATTCAAGATTTTAGATCTACTAACTAAGGATTATTCGTTTGGGACGACTTTCTTACTGCATCTTCTACTGGAGCGTTGATGTTTGCGTTCTTTCACTTTGCTTTTTAATCTATGATTGATTTTTATGCTTGTATTAGTTGGATCGATAACTTATAGGTTTTTATTCAAGTGATGTACTTTTAGTGAGCTTACGTTCCTTTAAAGACCTGTAATTTTTACCAATATTAATGCATAGGCCCCGCCATGAGTTTTAACCCAAAAAAATATTTAATCTCCATGATACAATTCAAGATTTTAGATCTACTAACTAAGGATTATTCGTTTGGGACGACTTTCTTACTGCATCTTAAAGCAACTTTCTAGTACAAAAATATTTTTTTTTTCTAAAAAGTTGTTTTAAGAAGCAGTAAGAAAGTCGTTCCTAACGAAGCCTAAGTTTTAGAAATAAGAATTATGGCTTTCTTCCATGTCATCTATAAAAATGCTAAAATTGTTGTGAACTTATATGATGGTTTCATTTACTTGGCCTAAAACTATATAATCATGCATATACATGAGAGGACTTATGAACAGATGAGCATGACTGAGAAGAGAGTAATAACCCATAGTAACTCCATGATTGAATAGATTGCATAGAAGACATCCATAACAATAGAGGATATTTGGTTTATTATAATTTCCCTAGCTTTGATGAAAAATTTAGAGGTGTCTTATTGAAATCAACCTTGAATGGTGTAGCTAGGATTTAATAAGTCGCTCACCAAGAGTATCAGGAATACAAAAACTTACTAAAGGTATCAAATAAAGTATAATAGAGACAACTCCTTATTGTAAGAGGAGGAAAAATTAGCAATGAGTCATGTTGCAATTTCATTATGGCTATAGAAAATATTTTTCTAGTAAAAGATATCTTGTATATAAAGTTTTAATTCTTAATTTCTTTTACATAATTGTAAAAATATCTAACTTACCATCCCTTTTGAACAATTAATCCACTTTGAATCTTTGTTGTATTGGGAATAAAACCATGCAATAAAAAAAACAAGAAAAGAAAAATGCAGTGAAAAGAAATAATACCAGGATTTAATGTGAAAAAACTTGAAATTGGAAAAAAAATTCAAAGCATACTATACCAATAAATCTACTATAAAAGTGGGAGAAATTGTATACGTCTCATTCTCTCAAACTCTCTCATTATCTCTCCTCACACTTCACACACCATTCTTCTTAAAATTGACAGAGAGACACATAAAACTCCCAAGGGACTTGAAAAAGAGACATACTGACCTCCCCCTCCCCCCTCCAAAGGGACGTAATTGTTTATGTTAAACATGAAAAGTGTGAAAGAAAACTGCCCAACTAGATTAGCAACGCTGCAGCGTTTAGGTTGAATTGGGCACGAATCTTGATCAGGCACGAATCTTGAAACAAAATCAAGTTGAAAACTTCAAAAATTAAATTCGGGGCCATATGAACTCCGATTTCAGTAAACTTATAGTCGAATTCGACGTCTAAAAAATAGAACCCAACAACACCATTCGACTCAACCCAAGTCCAAATGGATCAAAATCAAAGATCTGAAGTGCATTTAGAAGGCTCAAGTCATAATTTAGATTATTAAGTGGTTTCCAAACATGACATGCATATAGTCGAATTGAGTGGCTCGATAAGACAAATCTAGCGAGCCCTAGATCACCGAATTCTGATATCATTAAGGCACTCAAATACTTGATAAACGATTTATAATCAAAGAAATCCACATCAGCCGTCCATTCAAACAACTCCCAAATTACTCTTGATCTCCTTTCTATTTATTGGTCATGTCACTCTTAAAAAATTATAAATAGACATCTCATTTCTTATGAAAGGGGGAGGAAGAAGGGGTCAAGCAAGGAATAGAAGGAAGAAGAGAAACTTGAGTTCTCATGCCACAAGACTCTAGGGGTGTTAAAAATTGAACAGACCCAAACAAACCCAAAAAAATTTGGGTTCGGGTCGACCCGGTTAGCAAACGGGTTGGGTTTGGGTTCGATTTTCTGACCCGTTTAAAAATCTGGTCGGGTTCGGGTTTACCCGGCAACCCCACGGGTCTACCCGAATTGACTCGAGAACGTCAATACCTTGCATCACATCAACTTCAGGCCAACTATCTGCCTTCTAGTCTTGTTGCTGCAAGCCAACTATCCCGTTCGTGTCTTAGGCGACTAGGCGTCTAGGTCTAGTAGAGTGCTGCAGCCAGGCCTGACATGTAGGCTATCACAATGCATGGTCTCCACTACGCCGTCCTAGTCTCCTATATCGTCAGCTGCCATGACCTGACAGCACCCACGAGGCCACGACCAACCTGGAAGGCCAAAACTGTGAACGTCGACGTCTTTTGGAGATGATTCCACCGTCGACCTCACCCCGTCGGCGTCACCACTTGAGGTCGGGTCAGATTTTGCATTTTTTTTCCCTTTAGATATTCGGGTTCGCAGTCGGGTTGGGTCAACCTGATAACCCGTGCGGGTCGGGTCTGAGTTGAAAACCTTGACCCATTTAGTTAATCAGGTTGGGTTCAGGTCAACCTTTTTACGCCCGAGTTAACTTGGGTTCGACTTGAACCCGACCCTTTGACCCGAATTGACACCCCTGCCAGACTGCTCCTTGACCACTACCGGACTTCAACCCACCACCGACTGTCGCCAGACTTTTGCCCGGCCACCAACTGGCGTTATATTTCTGCCTGGCCACCAACTGACTCCAGATAGAAGCAATACAAGAAGGATGGAAGAAAGGAAGAGAAGAAAGAGAAGGAAGAACATTATCTTTTCACCAAACTCCTTGACCACCTCCTGGCCACCGACCGTCGTCGGACTTTTGCCGGACTTATGTCCGGCTACCAACTAACGCCGAACTTCTGCCCTTCGTTAGACTTCTATCCATCGTCGTACTTCCACCAATCGCCAGACTTCTACCCATTACGGGACTTCCGTCGAACTTATATTTGATGCCAAACTTCCATCAATCATTGAACTTCTACCTGACATCAAACTTTGCCCGTCTTCAGATTTCTACCCGATACCAAATTTTTGCTCATTGTGGGACTTCTAACTGTCATTGAAGTTTTGTCGGATTTCTACCCGATGCTAAATTTTTGCCTGTCGTTGGACTTCTACCCAATATTGGACTTCTCCCCTTCACCGGATTTCTGCTCGGCCACCAATATATGTATATATATATATATATATATCTGAAAAATAAATAATAATAATAATAATAGTAGATTTTAAAACATGAATGCTGTGCTGAGCGTGCTTCTTGGAAAAACGAAGAAACGATCCTCTGTTCGCCTTTCCTCCTGCTCTAATGGAAGGAAGCAAGGGCGACGAGGCATTCGAAGCCCTGGGCCTGAAGCCTCAGCTACTAATCAATGACGTTCTCAACATGGTCGACGATATCGTCGACGCTGCCTTCAATTTCTACCATCAGTAATCATCTCCTCGCTTTTTCCTCTCCAAATCCTTATCGTGCCCTATCTACTTCACCCAATCTCAAGCTTTTCCTACTCAGGGAAGTGGTTAAGCTCTTGCGTTCTGGTGGTGATGGAAGCACCATAAACTCGGACGATTTGGCCAAGGTATTAATGAATTCTTCCTTTCCGTAGCCATCCGCGAACGCAATTTTTGTTTTATTTGTAATATATGGGTTGATTATTTATACTTTATTTTTCTGTGTATGCTTGAGGGGTTCGTTTGTTTAACTTAAAGCTAGTTCCTTTGAGACAGAGAGCTGCAAGTTTTTTTTTTTTTTTTTAATTTCTTTACATGTATCCCAGAACCATCTGAATTATTGAGGATTTGATGGCCCTAAAGTGAAGTATTTCTTAGAATATTAGGGCAATGCATGCTGTTTAAGCTTCTGAAACTCACGTTTAGCAAAATAAATTAATGAGTCGGGGATATTCACACTAATAACTTAAAATTGAGAAGGATTATGTCAGCTTTGTATACCATGTCGGCTTAAGGGGTTTGAGTGGCGGCGCCGAAGGGCGTAAATAGCCATGTTTTTTGTAGCGAGAGTTAGTAAGGTGAATGTGCTTGAAAAATAGAGAGGCACAGCATGCTTATATTGGAGAAAGAGTTGCTTCATCTGCTTTGAAGATAAGATGGTAGAATAAATTGAGATAATTTGGACATTTACAATTCTACAGTGGCCAGTGGGCGAACCAGCAGTATGTAGCGGAGCTATAATTGTTTTTAAAGGCTAGAAGGGAAAACAGCAGCATTTAGTAAACTGCTACATGCTTATTAGATTTTAAAAAGTAGCTCTTAGTTTTCATTCTACATTTGAACCACAATTTTATGTAGTTAGCATTCCCTGTAGCTTCACTCTACATCTGAACCACTAACTACTTATCTGGTAAAAACTAATATTGTGAACTTCATCTTGTGCCAAGCAAAAATCAATTGTCCTTAAGTTATTAATGATTTTTTATAACAATGAGATATGTTATTTGGAACATTTTTCTGAAGTTCAACAATCTCTGTTTTTCTGGTTTTTAGGGGATTTCCTCTCTTCGTTATTTGGTGGAAGGAGTCTTGGATAAGCAGATGACTCGATGGGAGAACTATTGTCTTAATCATTGTTTTTCAGTTCCTGAGGGATTTGTATTGCCAAAAAATGTATGTTTTTTCTTAGAATTTTGTAGTGATACTAATACTTGATCTGTGTTATTTTTCAGGATGATTGTAAATATTGCACCAAATATTTTACTATGATATATATTTTTTGGTTTGAATATTGACTTCATTGAAGTCTTTCCATTCATTTAAAATGGTCCAATATGATATTCTTTCTTTTCAAATTCAATAAAATTGAAGATTTTTTTCTTGATGGAAGAAGTTCTCTTTTTGTGCCATGTAATGGTCACTTCGTTACTATACATTCATAGACATATGAAGATGCAATGGGCTTGCAAATCTAGCATGTCCACACTTGTGAGACTTTAGCATTCACCACTCATAAGTCAGCCTTTTCACACATATTTTCTCACAAGAACACAGGCGGGGAAGGAAACTCTATCAGCTCTCCAAGTTTGAATGTTTTTGGTTACGTTTACAAGTGGGAGGGGTATCCACATTTTTAGGCTCCAAGGCCTTTTTTTTTCTCCAAATTAAAGATATTTATGCAACCATCCATAAAATTTATACACCTGAAGTCATCTACAACACTATAGAAAAATCTACACAAATGAAATAGTTTTTAGAATACTTTCCACAACTTTAGAGTTCTCCATAAACTTCAAGAACAATCTCCAACTTTCTAGATACTAATGAATCTTATGGTGGCTAGAAATGCACATAAACTTACCATGAGCTAACCATTTGTAGCATTCTCTTCTATATATCCCAATGATGCACTCATTGCATTCTCAGCATGAAATATTTCGATCTTCTTTTGTAATTACAAAAGTGCTTCACAACTAACTTCACTTTTGAGCAACCCGTTCCATCAAATCAAGTACTCGTGCTTTAGAGTACAATATCAATTTTGCATTACTTGTTCCGAAATATGCACCCCACATCGCAATTATATGAAGTGTTTTCCCCAAGTCGCGCATGTGGGACTATTTGGTTTAGTCATCATGGTCCTCATGGAAGTGCTTAAATACTAGATGAAACTTAAGCTTCGGTGAGAGCTCAAGTTTATAGGTGACCATGCTTGCGTGCTTGAGAACTCAAAAGGGCTCTTCATAACAACATACCAACCTAGACTTGGGCATCGAGTTTGCTAGGTCAAGTTTGGTTAAGGGAATGAAAAGCATTTCCCAAACTTGATTTGACTCAATATTTAGGTTGAATATTTGAGAGTTTTGATTGTTCTTGGTTTGATTAATTTTAACTAATAAAAATACACACTCAAACATGCTTTGGTTGGTGGACTCATTACAGTCTATGATGCACGGACACGGACATGGCGACACGGACACGGGACACGGCTTTTTTTGTCAGAGGAGTGTCGGACGAGTGTCGTGTCGGACACTGCACGCCTCTTTGAGGAGAAGTGTCGGTGCATCATAGATTACAGTATAGTTTGTTTAAGAATTGAGCCATATTTTGAAACTTGGCCTTCCTACATAGCATTCACAACCTTAATTTGAAGACATATGTTTATAGACAAGTTTAGTTTTGACCCCAATAACTTGAAAAGTTCCATCCATAATCACTTTGTAAACTGAGGATCATTATCACTCATAATATTTCATAGTATACCCCAATAATTGACAACATGTGCTTCAATAGTGGTCTTGCCACCTTCTAAACCTGACAATCTTTTGTTCTAGGAATGAACATCAAATGCATAGGGAACCTGCAAGCATAATAGTTCGAATTCCTTCAACTTTTGGCATATTCACAATGAAGTCAATTGTTAGATTTTTACATGGACGCTTTGGGTTAGGTATAGGCTCCAACAAACTTGTTGACGACCATTGCTCCAACTATTCTTGTTGGCACACAAAGGGATTTTTGACATAGGATTTCACTTCACTTTGCAAGTTTGGTGAGTAGTTTTGGTCCCCCACGAGCACCATGGTGCGATGAATTCATGGTTGACCTACTACACTGAATTGGGTGACTTGAGCACTTTGAATCATGATACTTGTCCAAAATCATCTTTCTTAAATTCTTATGTATGTACGTGTGTTGACCTTGACCTAGAACAACCCATCCATACACCAAAATCGCCACATTTTACCTTCTTATTTATGCTAATGGAGTGCTTTAGTTCTCACATCATTTTATAGACCCTTATTAATCTGGTTGATGAGTAACACTCAGGTTGGTTGATGGTAGTTAACTATAGGTTTTAGCGTTAATGATTTTTTCTCTAGTAATATTTTTGCTCCAAATCATATTCAAATGTTACATGTGTATTCTTCTAGTGAGCCTTCGTCAAAACTTTAATTTCACCGCCATGGGGCTCATCGACCTTCACCATTTAGCTAAGAATTTACAATGAACATTTATGTGTCTATTTTCTCTATTCCTTGTTAGTCCTAACTAGAACAATAAGCTTTGCCTAGATTGGGCACTCATGCTTGTATATGATGCACTTTAGGGGCTAGCAATCACCTTTGACATCCCCATCACTTAGAGTCTTAGATCCATCTTCTCCTTATTGCTTTGAGTTGACTACTTCCCATCAGTCAACTTGTCAGTGTTATCACTCTTCCTCAGTATTGCCCGTACCCATGGGCTTGGATTTTGACTTGTCCCTTGGCTTGAACTTGATAAATGTATTTGATTTCATCACGACCTTTGAAAACTCCTGCATGCCTCTATGTTTTACCTTGAGCTTGGCCCGTGGTTTGAGCTTTTCCATGAGCTAGAAGCTAGAAGAATGCATCCTTCTTGATCATGGGTCACATATGATGTAACAATTCTAAGAAATACCTCCTATATTCTCAGGCATTTCCCATATACTTCAATTGATAAAGTTTGGCCTAAGTCTTATCCTAAATCCTTAGGAGTCAGTATAAGACTATTGATGAAATTCCTGTTGGAACTCCTCCCATGTTGTGATGGGTTTCTCATTTTAGTCATCAAACATGTATCACCACGACAACAAGGAGACATTCCTAGGATACATGGATACGGTGGTTACTTGCAAAACACAATCCATGATCCTTGTCACACAAAAGTACTGCAACATACTCCATAAGGATTCACTTAGCATGGCTGCAATTTTTTATAAATGCGGTTAAAGTTGTGGGGACAATAAATTTTTTGAAAACTATCGTGGGTATTATAATTATTTTTATTGAAAAAATTGACATCAACTTTCTTATAACTATGATGCACTAGCATATCTCACTATAAAAAGCAGCTTATCTTTTTGAAAATCAATAAGAAACTAGTGGCCAAAATGAATATGGCAGCAATCTCAAAAGAAAAGAAGTGAAAAAGTTGCCTCAAATAAAGCCTTTGTCACTGTTCTTACACACTCTCACATGAACATCAGAGAGGAATAAACTCAAGAACTCTATTAGGTCTCCAAGCTTAAATGCTTCTGGTCATGATTACAAATGAAAGGGGTTTCTCCCTTTTATAAGTTTCAAGGTGTTTTCCACCACAGAAAAGATCTTCCTACAACCCTCTAAAAGCTTCTTAGACTTTGAGTTAATCTACAGCACTCTCGATGACTTTACACATGAAAATTATATGCAAAACGTCTTGCACTTAGAGGTAATCGACAACACTCTAGATGACTTTATACAGATGAGAACTATATACACATTCCTGAATACTGCACACAATTCTATGGTTCTCCATAGCCTTCTAGACCAATCTCCAAAATTTCTGGTGACTAATGAATCTTATGGTGGTGAGTGAATGCACATAAACTTGCCATGAGCTTTCAGTCAATGACACAAATGGCCTGTTTTCATCGGTTCACATTCACTTTGGTCAGCTTGTAGCTTAAGCCTCTAAATGCAGTTATACCTTAATAGGTCATTACCAGTTGTCAGAAATTAAAATTACCATTAACGTTTGAAAGCAATTTATCATGGAAGTGTGATATTTTTGTTTACATCATTGAAATCTCTAATTCTCAGGGACTCGAGTTTATATGATGCTTTTTTTTTTCTGAACCACCAATAAACACTTTGGTTTACGAAGGCTCTAATTTTGCAGAATCCACTGAAATACCAAATCTTTATTTGTTGTATTGCTACCATTTTTGCGTTTGCATTTCTATCAACTGCAGAAATTTGATGCCTTACTAAAACTTATTTCTTCAGCAAGACTCAACTCGGAACTTTTTGATGCATTCTGAACTTTCTAATGAGCAACTTGATATTCAATTGGAAAACTTAAGGATGAAGCTTGCTGCAGTAAGGATCACAATGACCATATGTCTTCATTGTCTTTTTCTTCTTTCCAAATAAATTTCTACGAAACATTTGTCATTTCCATAGGCTGGAAAGAAAAATGCAGAACTGCAGAGAGAGATTCATTCACTAGAGAAGCAAGCTAGAAATGATGCTGCTGTTGTGGAGACAATGCAGCTGCTTGAACAAAATATAGTTCCTCAGATATTTAAAGGTACAGTAACAGGTAGACCCATTACTTGGTATATTAATATTTCGACTCTTTTTGTACATTTGATTTGTAGTTCTTTACAGTGCAAAATTAGATTTAATATTTCCTCAGATATTCTTTTTGTGCTTGGTTTAATGAGTATGTAGGATGAGAGATATGCCTTGTCAAAGCCTCATGGTTCAATTATCTAGAAATTTCTTAGGTGGACCCTAATCGGAAGCGTCAAGGCTAAGTTAATTTAGTGTAAGTCAAGGAGCTTTTTATTATGACCATAGATATCGGTGTTGGCATAAAAAATATCAACATTCCAAATGCCTTGGTTCTAGGGTCTCAGTAGTGCAAGTTTCCTCCCTTGCTGGATTGAGATAGTCATGCTCATCACTTGAAGTTGACTAGGCTAGTACCCTTTGCTTGATCCTCTAGCTCATTTTAAAGATAATTCATGCCTTCCTCTTTATTTAATTTGTTATTCAAGTCCTTAGCTTATTCTTTGGCTCAATTCTAGCTCAACTTACTTAGAAACCCTACATTAGCTGATATATTGAGTTGAATAAGACTACCCATTAGACTTAGCAAAGCCCGACCTAATCCTAGTTTAACCCTAGTTGATCTTAGTGGATCAAGTTGGTGGTGTAAGCTTTCAATCTCTTCCCTATTTGTTCAATCACATATATGTGCTCGATAGTTGACCGGTGGATCTCTTGAGCTTAACTTATGAGCCCATGTTTGACATATGGGCAACCTAGGCTCAAAAATCCCTAAACCTGGCGTCCTATTGGTGATTTTGAATCAATTGATTCAATCAACTACTGTACCTATTCTTTATGATTTCAATCATCAACTTATGGATGAGTTGTTTGTAGTTGATCGTTGAACTAGGATTAGTTCTTTTGAAATCTTGTTTAGCCCAATATGGCCCAATTAAGTCAATTAGACCCAAACCATGGAATTTGATAAGCTGATCATGGACAACCTTTCCAATAGGTTAGAAATGACCCAATTGAGCCAAATAGAACTTTGGCGTAAGCTTGATCATTGGACCTTTTGACCCAATTTGGTCTAAATGGACTTATTTGCCATATTGAACGAAAAACATCAAATTGGGCAAATTGATTGGACACAAGGCCTCAATTCAATTTCAATAGGCCATGCATATATGACTGAGCCTAATTGGCCAATTGGCTCACTTGTTGACCCATTTGAACCCTTAAGGCCAATTATGACCAATTTGATAAAATTGAGCCATGACAACTAGAACCTTTTTCAGTTTATTAAACATTGCTAACTTGACCACAATTGACCTTTGATCAATCCCAGTTTGGTTAATTGATTTAATTGACTCAAAATTGACCCAATTGAATTTGTAGGCCAAATTGATTAAAGTGATCAATTTTCATTTAAATAAATCTTCCAATTGACTCGATTGGATCTATCACAACCCAACCCGATAAGCCCCACTGGATGAACATGTCTTATCGTGTTGGTTTACAACAGGCAAAAATCCAAGTATCAAAGTTTTAAAAACTATTAAAAAATTTCATCAAATTTTAACTTTAAAACAACTAACAAACTACATAGTTGCTAATGATTGTCAATATATAGAAAATAAATTTATCCACAAAATTCTCTTTCCATTTATCATCAAAATGAATATAAATAATTGCACTATAGTACATAGCTACTAACGGAATACGAAACAGTGCATAATAATAACTAACTGTGACTGTACAAACGTTAAAAAGAAAGAAATACCTATACAAACTTAAATCACTATGTTGAGCATAATAGTAATTACAATTATCAGGAATTTAAATAACGGTGTTGTAAAAATAAATAAACAAACACTTCATATCAGACAAAATTCTAACCCTTATGTCTCCCAATAGGCATAATTTAGAGAATTCTGACATTTATGCCTCCCAACAGACAAAATCAGAGAATTTTGACTCTTATGCTCCCAATGTATAGCAACAGAAGAGAGTGTGCATAGCACCAGAATGTGCTTTAGATTCTAAAGTATGCATTTAACATCAGAACATAACTTCCTCCATTAACATCAGAACTTTTCAAAATATCCTAATGGTAGACAACAAAATACACTACTGTGTAGTAATTTACTATTTCAGAATGTAATCAAATTATCAGAGATTGTTCAAAACACAATTTAAAGATTTTATCTGTACCACAATATTATTTTTCAGAGTCAGGATTATTTTTTAGTCAATTAAAATAATGAAATTCTCAAAATCCCCCGTGTAATTTTTTCAGAAAAATTTCTAAATATTCAGAATCTCATTTTTTATAACATACAGAATGTTACACGGTAAATTTTTTTTAAATAACAAGTTATCTCCATTTTTTACTAACGAAATTATAAATTAAATAAAAAAAATTCTAGAAATTTTTCTATTTTTGAAAACTAAGACAAAATCTCACCTACCTTGATCCGAGCAACTTTCAGAATTGGGCCATCGTTTGAAAATGACCCGAAGCAGCCCAAATTTGGCTCTCTTTCTAGAAATATATCTTTTTTATCTCTCTAGCCAGCAACCCTAAGGAGAAAATGAATGGGCAATTTTAATGAAAATTTATTTTTAAATGAAAAATTCAGGCCGAGCGCTGCGGCGCCCAACAGCATCGTCCACGGCCCTCCCTTTGGGAGCCCATAGGGTCATAGTGCTGCCACGTTGAAATTTTCTTCCAAAATTCTAGAGAGCTTAGCGGTGCTAACACCAGCTCGCGACACTCTAGGGGAAAACTTCAAACTTTTCCAAACATGCAATCAGACCCCAGTGACCCATTTCAAAACACATTCAGACTCTCAAATGCATACAAAACATTTCCAAACACATGTAGAAGGGTTTAAATGCAGAAACTTAACAGAATACCTTGAATTTGGTTGGGTCAAAACGGGTTGAACGATATATTGACTTTCCATGTATTACAGGATCCACCCTACATCAAATTGAAATAATTGTCGAATTGAAACTAATTAACCCAACCTAGCCCAATTGAACCCTTAATGGATCTAGCTAGTCAATTTGAGCCAAATGCCTGAATTTGATCAAACACCTTGTTTAGATTGACCACATCCTAATTGAGTTAATTTGTCATTTGATTTGACCCAATTGGCTTAATTGGTTCACTTGATCGAAGATGCATCTCACTTAGCCCATTTGGGCCAATTAAGCAAAATTAACCAAATCGGCTCAATTTATCCAAATTAACACCTCTATCACTATAGGAAAACAGTTAATTTCTAGCGGAAATAAATTTGACAGAATTTTAGGCGAATTTTCTGGCGAATTTCCGACGGAAAATTTCCGGCAGATTTTCAACGGAATCCGGCGATTTTTTGTATAGGCTTTCTGACGGAATTATTTTCGATGGAATTTCCGGCAGAATTCCAACAAAAATAAATATATTTAAAGAATTACTATTAAAATATTTATAATTATTTATTTTGTTAAATTAAGTTAAATAATGCAGGTCGGGGGTTCGAACCCCGCTGTAGGAGCTCGCATGGTTAGTTGTGCTGGGCGGGTAGGTCGGGTCGGTAGGCTTGCAGGCTGGCTGGGGCGACGCAGGCAGGCTGGTTGGGCGCGCGGGCTAGCTAGCGGCGCCTAGCTGGTGGATTGGGCCGGGCTGCCCGAGTGGTTGGGGGCAGTAGTATTAGGCTTGTTAAAATTATCAATTCAGTAAATTTTTTTTATTTTCAGGCAAAAAATTATTGGCCGGAATTATTTTTCCGGCGAAAAATTAGCCGGAAATTCACCGGAAATAGTTCCAGCGCATTAGTTATTGCCTAAAGGACTTTTCCGACGAGCATATTACCGTCGGAATAATTTCCGCCGGAAATCCATCGGAATTGCCAATTTTCGACGGATTTTTGTCATTTTTCCGACGAAAATGGCCGCCGGAAAATAGCGTTTTTCCTGTAGTGTATAGGATGTTCCTAGGTGGTTATGAGATGATTTAACCCACCTAGGATTGTTTGAATCAAGATTAGTCAACTCCTTGCCCAAGCTTAGTCAACCTTAAGTCCATTTGGATACCCTTGAACCAATGGAATCAAACACCAAAATTGGCTAACACCATGGCCCATAGAGCTTTTAGGGTGTGTACTTGGATCCACCACATTTGACTTAACTCAATTGGCCCCGTGATTTGGCCAAATTGGGTCAACAAACTCAAGTTTACAAATTGGACCCACTAGGTCCAATTGAAAAACATGGCTCCTAAAGCCAACATTAGCCAAACCACTTGAACCAATAGATGCTTAGAACCTAATCCTAGTTCAATCCAACATGATTAGCCCATAACCAAGTCATTAACTATAAATTACTGGAGGATTATTGAAGATTTAAGCCATTCAACAATGATTATCAAAATTTCAAACCAAATGACCGTTTTAACTACTGTGATAGCCTTGCATTGGATCGTGGCATCCACCTGTCATTCTATGCATGTTGCAAGCTATGAACCAAGCATTAAACTTGAGTTTATGCTCTTTATTAAGGTGAATTATGAGATTTAGTGAAGGACTCATTCCCCTCGGCCACTTTCTAAGTTCAGAGAAGTTTCCAATAGCCAATGGATTTAGTTCAAGTGGTCTGAAGAGCTCGAGCAATTGAGAAGCTAAGCTTTGTTTAGAGTTTTAGTTTCCTCACTTATCCAGCCTCTCCTAAGGTAATTCCAGTGAGGGTTTTCTTGCAGCTCATCTCTAGAAGATGAAGGATCGAATTCTTCAAGTCTAGTGGGTTGCTCGGGTATAAAATCTAAACCCTAGCTTCGCTTTAGGTAGTTTGGTCTTGGGAAGGGATTGGGTCACATCTTGCAAATTTATTGCCATTCCCTAGTAGCCCTTGAACCTTGAAAACTCTCCCCTAGTAGTCCTTGAGATCTGGAAACTCTTCCCATTAAGTTTACTCAATTTAGTTAAGTAAATGGATAGCATTTCTCCTTTATTTGTCAAGCCAAATATATGGTCATGTGCTGAGGATGATTACTTGATG